TGATAACAACATTTCCAACATTCTCCGTCTCTATTGATTTTCTGATATCCGACCAGAAGTCGGAGCGGAAAAAGGCGCCGCGGAAACGCCATAATTATCGGTCGATGAAGCGAGGCAAAGTAAACTACTGAACTAAAGTCCGCGAAAAAAGACGCCCGTTCGTTGGCTCGCGCGCGCGCGAACTCAACATGGCGGTGGCCACTCGCAATCAGATATAAAAGAGCACTGAATTTCCCAATAAAAATAGGCGGCGTTCTCTAAAAGCTCGCGGATTAAATTCACGATGCGTAGAGATTCCGCAGGAAGAGGGGAAAAAAAAAACAGATAAAAGTTGGACCTCCCCTCCTCTTGTTCTCTTGCCCACGTATCGCCGCCATAGCAACGAGCGGCTGCAATCCGCCTACCTTTGAGCGACGTACAAAAAGCGAGGTAAAGAGCGCTCGAATTGTAAAACAAACAACTTGTTCGTGAGCATTCAGGGGAGTCGAAGGAGAGGAGAACGATAGGAGCGTGGGGGAGGGGGAGAGGGTTTACCCTCGAAGAAACGCCGATGGAGAAGGGTTGCGAGGGTTGCGAGGGAGTTGTGCATTCGCGAAGAGAGTCGATGGATCCGAGTGGCCGGCAAACATCGGGGGATATATCATTATCGCGGTTCAAAAATTATACCTCGCAAATGTTTCGGCGTGTTTGACCGGATGGAGGGTAACCGTTTGATCGCCGACCAAGATTTAAGGCGATCGAAGGAGAGCTCCCCCCGGATGATTCGGATGAGCTTCGTTCTCGAGTCGAATTCAATCTTCGAGTCGAGATCCTCGGCAAGACGGAACAATATTTCTCGATCGAATAGGTCAAGCTGGCAAAAGTCAAGCTATTAAATTCGATTTGTCAAATATATATATATATATATATATATATATATATATATATATATATAGTCTAAGCGCTTTGTAATTTACCGTCTCGCAAAGTCTTACTTTGCGTTACCATTATTCGAAATTTCACGCGTCGCTTTTACGTTCGTTCTTTCTTGTTGGGATACTAATGAAAAGGAATAAAGAGCATTGTCTTTGTCGTCGTCACGGCATTTTCGCCCCGTCCGGGTACATTCAACCAGAGACCTACTCTTATTCGAGTATAAATTAAGTCTGGCTCGGGAGAGACTCGTAAACCGCGCCTAGAACTCACGTAAAGCGGAACTTGAGACTCGGTGCGGAAATAAAGAAACATCGCTCTCTTAATCTTCCCTCTCGCTAGCCCACACAGTAGGACGCGCTATTTTCGTCTTTGCTTTTATCATATATAAATGTTAAAAATATGCTCCAATGTCTCTCTTAATTACTCGTTACCCCCTTTCCTCTTCTACGCATAATCATTTTATTCGTAACTAATATATTTGAAATTACTTTAGACATTGCATCCGTATTTTAATCCATGCGCGCTCTCTTTTGCGACACATTTTTTTTTTTTTTCAGAGGACGTTAAAAAACGTATAAATTAATAAGCATGAATAATTGGGAAATTTTATAAATAAATGTTATTTTTATTATATAAAATTTTTTATAATATTCCTATTATGTTTTTTTTTATCTTACTCGACGCGCTTATATTATGATGTATATCGGAAAATTTGATATAGACTTACGAAAAGATTACTTTGAACGAGTATATAATATAGTTGTAATGTTTCAGACGATGGTTGTAAATTTAAAAAGAAAAAGGAAAAGAGAATATAGTTTAGTTCTTTTGAATAGATTTAAATTTTTCAAGTCTCTAACAGTTTTCTTATTACATTACGTTTTTCAGCTGAAAGCATTCTACGTGGACCTGCTAGTGCCGCTGGAGACTAATCTGGAAAAGGATACGAAAGTCGTTCAGGTAAGTAAACCACCGAAACTGATCCCCGGAAGGGACATTACTCGTCCCCGAGTTCCAGACTTTTGGTGACGATGAATAATGCAACGCTGGACTTTCAGAGCGAGCAGAAGAAGTTTCTTCAGCAGCACAAGACTAGATCCGAAACCTACAGTAAGGCGGCCGCGACCATGAAGAAACAAAGGAAGAAATCCAGAGCCGCCAATAAGAGTGGCCTCGCCATGGACAAGGAGCTGAAGAACATGCAGATTCTCGAAGAGGAGAAAACCAAGCTCGATGCCTTTTGCGAGCAGAGCCTGAAGAATGTAAGTAACGAGCGATATATGTAAGGTATTCTATCCTCGAAAAGATCTTTGTGTCACTTGTATTATATAGAGCATAAATGTTGGAAAAGTGAATTTAACAACATTTAACACACTTTTACAAGTGTAAAATAATATACGTATAATAATATGCGAGGAGAAAACGAATGTAAAAGTTATCATTAAATACATATTAGAGACGACAGACAGAGACATGATGGATTACGATGAGATGAGATGGATACCGATGAGATTCATTAACGGAGCGAGTCCATTAATACTCCGACCTTCTTTTCACAGGCGATGACTCAGGAGAGACGACGATACGGTTTCGTGTTGGAGCGACAATGCTCCTTGGCGAAGCACTATGCGAGTTTTCATGAGGTTGCACTGGCCGCGCTTCATCCCTCGGTTGATAAATGGCGCGAGGTTGCCGCCACCAGGGAATATTTGCCCCAGTCGGTGGAGGACATGTTCGCTTCCAGACTCAGGGTAAATTCGTCGACTGAGTAAAGTTGATGGCGTAAAATCTCTCGTAACGATTCACACCTGGATCCGAATTGATCCAAGCGCCAAGCACCCACCTCGCCTCGCCTGTATTTACACTGACATTTTGCTTCTTCTTCTTCTTAAATCTCTATCTAGATGAGGAAAAGAATTATAAGGTTATTCGTATCTGGAACCAGCGCCAGATTTAAAATTACCTATAGACCTATAATTTGAAAAAGAGACGATGATAAATTCCCCTTTTTATGCATTTTTTTAATACTTTCAAGCTAACGACAAAGACGACAAATATTTCATTTTTATATTTAGGCCAGCTTTAAAGAGAAGCTATAACGCGCGATATTATGTAAATATATATCTAGATAAATATATATCTATATATCTTTTTAGCCAGATAATGGAAAGCGAGCGCCGGCATTAATAACGCAATCTTTCGAGCGGACGACAAAGGTTTCTTAACATATTTTTTTAACTATATAATTTATTTTACGTATACAATTAATAAAGGATGTTGTCGCGCGCGATGTTTACGACTGTAAATTACAATTTTATAGCAATTTACATTTCTTTGCAGCAAACATCATTTTGGCCGGAGGATGAGGAGAATGGCGGCTCCGAATTGACGACGATGAGCTCGCAATTGCGAAAGACACGAAGCATGGACAGCTCCTGCTTAGAACTGCGATTGGGCCCCTTGCCCGGGAATCCGCAATCGTCCGGCGGCCATCTCGGTCCAACGCCGCATCTTCCCGCTGTCCTTTCCAGAGCGAGGTCGGAGGCCAATCTGCACGCCTCGACATTATCCCTCGGCCCCGGTACGTCGTCTTGCCGCTCTTGCTTTTTTCGCGACAATGATATCGATTTTTGCGCCACGCGCTCGTGCTGAAATTTCGACACCTTCCTTCTTTTGTTCCAACTTTCCTCGATTCGAAATTAAGTAAATTGAGCTCCATTCTCTCTAAATTAATTTCTACTAAATCATGTTAGATTAAATAGAATCGGAATTAATTTATAATTTAAGCTACATTATATGCACTTATCATAGGCCAAATAATCTCTCAAGAAATAATTGTACTTTAAACGATTAAATTGCACGCTATTACAAAATATAGATAGCAGACAATTTCGGCAATTATTTAAACAAATTAGTTATTTGAATATCTTCAAATAGTTATTTGAAGATTAGAGTTGTAAAAAGTTAGATTTGTTAAAAGTTAGATTTATAATTATGTATACGTATGTCGAGTGATTTCTTCTTCTTTCAATTAAGTTTAAAATATAAATAAATTGAAGATATACTTCAATTTAAACTAGAATTTTATATATATATATATAATGAACTGCTCGTTTGTTACATGACATACGACAGCAACAGCGAGCCATCTATAGAACGGAAACGATCGACCAAAAAAATCGGCGGAATGGAACCAGTCACAATGACGTTTCCGTTCTCTTTTCGCGAGTGCTGTCGTGCCGATCGTATAAATTCCAGTCGCGATCAGATTCGGGGACTCGCGTCGAAATCCGAAGCTCTCTCGAACGGAATCGCGCATGCAATAAAAACGGAATATGCTTTCGTTTGTGCAACGCGACCCGGGTCCGTATTTCATCGTCGTGGCGTCGCATGTCACGCTTCATATAGTCCATTATATCCGTTATTACACGTGCTGTGCCTCTATGACAAAGTTTTCTGTAGATTTGTTTCTCTTGGCTACGCCAAGTTACGCTATCCCTGCAAAGAATAAAATAAAAATCCTTCTCGAGAATAAAACACACACGCACAAACACAGAAAGAGAGAGAGAGAGAGAGAGAGAGAGAGAGTGTTTAAGTTTAAATATATAGGAAAGAAAGATATATAATTTGAATATAAATCATTCCATTATACTTGTTATAACGATGAAATTATGATTTGATTAATCTCTTCTGCGCTATACCTTTACAAATAATTCGACATGGAAAATTAAATCGTAAAATTATATATACACACACACACACACACACACGTACACACGTCAGTGTGTTTTACATTTAACATCATATATTTGTGTCAAATTAATTTACCATAATTTACTTTTATAAATGTTTGTAATAATATACACCGCTGATATTTCTCTCGTGGAGAGAGAACCTGTCTCTCCTTTATTTCCAATGTCCCTTCGGGGGTGCGATACCCATTCCACTCTCCGACATTCACTCTGACCATCGTTACCGTCCGCTGACCTAATTGCCCTGGTTTACCCCGAAACTACCCTCGCATTATCCCGGGCTCATCCTCATCCCCCGACAAACCCTCTTCCCCTTACGTCCCTCTCGCAAACTCGATCAGTTACATAGCGCTTCTGGTTTCCAGAGGTTCCAGAGACCCCACCCCGACCACGATCCATGGCACCTCCCGCGTCTCGCAGCAGCGGTGGTGGCACCGGAATCGGCGCTGGAGGTTGGGGAGACGCCCCTCTTGCCAGAGCTCTCTTCGCCTATCTTAGCTCGGGAGAAAATCAGTTGAGCTTTTTGGAGGGCGATCTCATCGCTCTGATGGGTGAGTTAAATCTTGCGACGTTCGTCGATCCGATACGCATCATTGTTCCGAAACTGTAGCGCTCGTAGCTCTCGTGATTGGCGCGTAACAAAATCATAGAGATCAACAAAGGATCAACAAACGACTACACTTGAGATCTTTCCATCCTTCAATCTTTTCTGAAAGAGAAAAATCGAAAAAAACTCGGTTTTCATTGTAATTAATGATAATTATTTCTTATTGATAATTATACATTTATCATTATATTAAATAATTATAATCTGAAATAATTATATTTATTTATAATCTAATCACATTAAAATTACTTACTTATTATAATGTCGAGGTGATATCAATGATATCTCCTCGATATTGCGTTATAATGGAGATAGTTGAATTTGAAAATTCCAATGCAGCTTAATTGCAAAATGTTGATGAGGATAATGAGCGAATTTTGCGTCGAAAATTTGCATATTTTTCATTATTTTTTTTTTATCAGGAGACCGTCAGAAGGGATGGCAATTTGGCGAAAATCTCCGCACTCAAAGCTCGGGATGGTTTCCCTTGGCGTACACCGAAATTATAATCGACGATATTTTGGGGTGAGTAAACCTTACCCAAATCCCAAAGTACAACAATTTTGCACGTTGTAAATTTTGATGTGCAAACTTTATGTTTATTTATACCGCTAATTTAGCCATTGTGGTTGCGTTGAAACGATCGCTTGTTTTTTAACACTTAATCGCGCCTTTAGAAAATTTCTCGAGTACGAGTTACACCGAATTGATTTGTATTATCGAATTGCACCAAGATCACCGAGTCACGGAGCGAGCAACGGTAGGACCCCGGATTTGCAAGCCATCCCTCCATGCAAGCCACCTCCCTCTCGACCGCCAGTCACGCCAGCCGGTATCGACGAGTCATCCGGGGGTACCACGGGCGCAAACGGCAACTCTGCCAACAGCAACAATGCCAACAACAACAACAACAACAACAGCTGCGTCGGTACGCCGACCAACAACGCGAGTGTTTTGGCAACTCCGACAGCGCGTCAATCGAAATCGGTAATAAGCTAATCGATTATCAATTTATTATTTATTTCATACAGATTAACACCCCTCCTCCTCTCCTTTCGACCGAGAGACGTTCTTAAATTATTCAAATTCAAATTCTAAAAAACTTGTCAACATGCAGGCTTTACCACAAAACATATAAGTATACATGCGGTGACCAAGATTGATTAGGACAAATGTAAAAGAGTAGAAAAATCAATTCGTCTGTGTTTCAGGTCCGTCCATCAGGTACACTGCCTGCAGTGCTGGCCGGAGGACGAAGGGTGCAACCGCCCGTGCCTCCGGTGCCACCTCCGGCGATGACGTCCCTCCATAGCAGCAACGACAGTGGCTTTTCCAACGAACCCCCGGTGCAGCCCGACGTCGATTACAGCGACGACGAGGCGTTGAGGTAAACCACTCGGAAGCTACGTCCCTCTTCCGCTCGCAAATTTATTTTCACTTCTCATTTACTTACGTGATTCTAGTTGGATTTTCTATATGCTTTATGTGTAAAGTGTAAGAGAGCTATGTAAATTACATTCCAAGAAAAGTTAAGTTTTTTATTTTTATTTTTCATGTATACGAGATAAAAAGTGTCATTTTGCTGATTTTATTTGAAAATAATATATCCATATAATTGTGACAATAATCAATTATTATAATAATAAGAAAATAATAATTACAGATGAATAAATTAAAGCGTGGCCTATGCGCATCTGTCGGAAAGAGACAGATTTTTTTCATTCTCGCAACTCGCGAATTATTTCAAAAGAGAATATAATTATCCAAAGAAGGATTTACGCGCGTAATTTACATAGACTACATCAAGGATGAAAACCGGTAAAATTTTATTGAATTCACATGAAACGTAGACGGAAATTATTTCTGACAATATAAACACAATATATAATATTGATGTACGATCATTCTTGACCGTTTTTGAAAACTGTTGTACTTGGGAACATGTTATACCTTGAGACACGTTAATTATCTTTTTAACAAAAGTGAGACTTTTCGTAGCTCAGTCTCTCATCACTTTCTCTTAATCGTCATCTGTTTGTAATTTGAATAATAAACATGCTCATTACAATCATTTAGTTTTCAATTTTTAAAAGATGTTTGCAAAAATTTAAATACATTATAAAATTCTCTCGTGTCAGATATGTATGTTCAATTTTAATTATTCAATATTTATCCAATTATTTCCCGCAATTTCTTTAATTCTAATATTGTTTCACATCTCGAGTGAGATTGTTGTAACTAGAGATCTATATTTGAAGAATCATTTAAGTTATCAGTATACCCATTTTATTTATTCTTTTTATTATAATATCTTAAGATAACGAAAAAAAAAGAAAGAACAGAAATTCGAAAGCAAAATTAATTTCTAAAGCAAAATTAATTAATTTATGGTGGCAGCAGTAAAGGGTATATTTTGCGTGAAAAAAAAATCTGCTGTAATGTATTTTATATAAAGTTTTTATACAAAATTCTTTTATACTTTAGGGACTTTGAAAAAAGATTAAGATATTATTTTTAAAATATTACACATTTTTATTTAAATTTGTAAACTAAACCATTTATAAATACAACATGTGAAATTAAAAAGAGACATTAAGCAAATTCTAAAAATTAAAGCAAAACGTTCTCAAGCATTAATCTTCCTTGTCTCTAACATCTCTAATATCTCTAGTATATTAATCTCAATGTAATTATATCGGTTTCGATCCTTGATTTACATTAATTACACATAGAGTATCATTACGCACTCGCAGAAATTCGATAGCGAGTGTGTATATATATATATATATATATATATATATATATATATATATACATACACACACACACATATATCAGACCCTTTCGATTCTCTGATATTTTTGCTTCTGCAACGTTACGCTTTGATAATTAGTGCGAATTAGTGCTTTGTCCTATTCGATTAAAGAAGTTTTATATTGTTGTAGCTTTACCTTTATTCTGCTTTCAACTGTCTCTTTGTAATTGATACAATTTTAACTCCTCTCTCACTCTGGTTTTGGCTCTCTGCACTCAATTTGATTGATTTGTTGCTCTATTGCGCAAAGAATAAAGACTCGTTGGTAATGAATGCTGTAGACGTGCGCATTTTCTTCTCAGAGGATTCTGGCAATGTCGACAATTGCAACTACAATTTACAATAATTTCGGATAAAGCGATATCGAATTATAGTCATAATCCATGAATATAGAGAAACTTGGTATTAATAGTAGTGTAATATATTCATCTAACTTACTTGTCCATTGCTACGCGCATGCTGTAGCTAATTTTGCGATATTATATTATGTTATGTGTGTACGCTATCCAAGTGGAATTTAGGATATGTAAATACTTAATGCTTTGCTTATTGCAATATTATTATTGCGATTGTGTCTTTTAGGCATTCTTTTAATAGCAATTCGTAATAGCAACATTAACAATACACAATAATATCACGATTGGTATGATCAATCTTTTTCTTTGGCACTCCTTATTCTAAAATTTCATCAAGTATATTTTTATTACATTTGCCTTCCTCTTTTCTTTTCCTTTCCCGATTTAAGCAAATGACAATATTATCTATTTCATATTTGGATAATTTATTCATTATGATCTTTATTCATTTATTATGCAGTTTTACTGTGATTATACTTGTCGCAAACTCTTCAATTTCATACATCTCAATCAATTAAATATTTCTTTTTATTCTCCATCGAGACTTACGAGAGCTATTTTGCTACTATATTTTTACATGTTTTACTCGAGACAAAATTGATTTTTATTCATCTTAATATCTCTGATCAGTTTATATTTAAATAGCTGTAAATAATTTATTTATATATCTCACGAATCAAACTCTCGATCGGATCTTCTACCTGGAAAATTAGTTATTTCCGTTTTTTTCGAAATATATATCTCTCCTTCTTGTAGATACCGCATGCGCTATCGTGGTCGCTGGAAATAAACCGCCGTGGTGGTGGTTCTCTGCATCTTCACCAGCCTCTACCTTTCTAATTCCTTCTTTCCGCAACCTGTCTTTTTTTTTTTTTTCTTCTTTATTGACCGCGCCGCGCACACAGACAACGGCGCCGGAAGCCGCGAAGCGGAGGGGATCGTCCGTCCTCAAAGGACGAGAAGCAATCCAAGGACTGGGAGAACGACTCTTGGAAGACGATCCCGCGGGATGAGAAATCCTGGCAGCTGTATCGCACGGCAATGGATTTATGGGCGGAATCTAAAGCCAATCGGACAGGTCAAGAGGACTCGAAAAAGTACTTTGAGATGGCGAACGGTGACTTTGCGCTGGAGAATGTGACGAAGAAGAGGAAGAGCAAAAAGACAGCGGCACAGCAGCCGAATGAGCGACCTAGCCCGAATCAGCGCTCAAAGATGGCGGCGGATGAGCGGAACTTGTCCGCTGTTACTCGCCACGACGATCAGCGACGCGTAGATAAGCGGACGCAGGCGGATACCGAGGAGGACGAACTCGAGGAAGAGGACGAAGAGGATTTTGGCGTCGAATGTCATAATAAGAATAATAATAATAATAATAGTAATAGCAATAAGTTTTACGGGAACAATCAGGAATCTCAACAAGAGCGAAGAGGAGGAAACGGTTTCGAGGTAGACAAATACGTCAAGTCGTCGTCGAGTTCGTCGTCAGAGTCCGACGACGAGAGTACCATCACCATCCCGGAACCGGGCCGTAAAGTCGAGCATATAGCGCAAAAGCTCGAGCAGACCGCGCAAAAGTATGCGCGCGAGCCGCATAGCCCACCCAAGTTTCTCGAACGCCGCGAGAGAACGAACACGGCGGCGGAGTATAAGAGTCTGGAGAGGGAAACGCGGGAAGCGGCCTTGTCGCGCGAACGTCGCGAAAGATCTGCCGTAGAATATAATAAAAGCCTGGAGCGTAGCCGGGACGGCCCAAAGAACTTGGAGCGCTTACGCGACAACCGCGCTCCGCGAGATGACGAGCGTCCCCCGTTGAGGGAGGACAGGCATTCGCTCGAGCAAAGTTGTCGCGAAGACAAGCAAAACTTTGGACGGTTGAGAGACGACAAGCAGAGCTTCGAGCGCGCAAGGGAGGACAAGCAAGGCCTCGAACGTTTAAGAGAGGACAAGCAGAGCTCCGATCGTTCGCGAGAGGACAAACAAAGCTTTCAGCGATCCCGCGAGGAAGCGCAGTCGTACGAACGAGCCAGGAACGAACGCGCTCGTTCCAGGACCAACGAGCAAGAACGCGCGTACACGAACACGGCGGAGCAACGAAGGGAGGAGCAACGAGTAACGAGTTACGAACGAACGTTCGAAAAGAATCGCAATAGGATGATCGAACGATTGTCCAGTCGGCGATTCGAACGGCCGCGACCGCCGTCGCGGGAAGCTCCGGAACGGCCTGTAGGACCCTACCGAGAACGCAGGTACTCCGATAAGGAAGAGGCGATTTATGGAGAGGCCGGCCGATACGGAATCGATTCGCTCGAGAGAGATCGCGGCTACGAGTCAAACTTTGAGACAAAATTGGAAAGATCGAAGGTGATTGAGAGACATGGTTATCACGCGGGTTTGCATGGCCCGGGTCTTCAGAAGCGGAACGTCGTACCGAGAAGTAGCGAGCAAAGTAACCACGGCGATACCAATAACAACACGCTCAAGATGGATCGAAAATCCCCGCGACAGGGCCAAATTACCGCTATGGGCCACCTCGCGCAAACAGGCAGAGCTTTCGAGGAACCAAAGAGCCCGAAGCTCGTAAAGCGGACCAAGTCATTCTGGAAATTCCGCCGGGATTCGGAAGTCTTGGAAGGTATGGCTCTTTGGCAGCACCGCTCTCTCGTGGACATTCCAAAGATGATTCGTAAAGAAGACAAGATGGCGGGAAACGAGGAGAAACAGAGAAACTCGGACGGCGGTAGTCCGAATTCGAGTCTGGGCAACAGCGAGAGCACCATCACGAACGAGCATCGGCACGACGAGACCGAGCCGAAGCCGGCCGAGAGAAGTCACGTGCCCGACAAGACGGATTACTTTGATGATTTCCCGACGCCCGCGGAACGGCCCAAGATTACGGAGAGATCGGCGTATAGAGTTCAACAGCAGTCGGAGGAACGGGCGTACTTTGTGGGCAACGTGTCGCGGAAGGCCATCATCGAGAAGGAACGTAAACGTAGTCTCGAGGCGAAGCGAAATATGATGATTGTGGCCGAGTTGAAGGAGAACAGTGAGAGTAAGCGGAACGAGATGTCGATGCGCAACCGACGAAACTATGACGAGGAGGAGGACGCGACGTTGAACTTTAGCGAGACTGAGGCTTCCGATGAGGAATCTACGTATAGCTGCATCGTCGTTAAGGATCAGAGCATACCGGAGAAGACACTGTTGCCGAGGACTAAGCTGAGACGAGAGTCTGATCGAGATAGAAATACTTGCGGACCCTGGTACGATCTTTGGGGCATGGACGCATCAGTCAACAAGAAAAAGAGGAAGCAGAAGCAACAGTAAGACGAGGAGCCGACGAATGAGCCGATATGAAATGATACGTTAAAATATGTTAAAGATATGTTCAAATTGGCTAATGTTGAGTTTGAGAGTAACAAGAGAGACGAAACACAATGTTGAAGCAAAAGTGAGAATATTAAACAGAAAATGGAAAGGGAGAGAATGAGAGAGGTAGATGGGTAGATGGGTAGATGGATGGATAGATGGATGGATGGATGGATGGATGGATAGATGGATGAATAGATGGATGGATAGATGGATGGATATATATATATATATATATATATATATATATATATGGATAGATATATATATATATATATATATATATATGGATAGATATATATATATATGGATGGATAGATGGATGGATAGATGGATGGATATATATATATATATATATATATATATATATATATCCATCCATCTATCCATCCATCCAGAAAGAGAGAGAGAGAGAGACGCAAAAAGAGAGAATTAAAAATTAAAGATTGGATACTCATCTCAAGAAGGAAAGATTAGCATAAAAAAAGGAAAAGAAAAAGCAACAATTTTTCCATTGCATGCTCGACGTGTGTCTTTTAAGATCAATTGCACTGATAATTTGTGAGCGAGAAACGATCGATTGATTTCGCAACTTGTTGTCGCATGTACGTTATTACTTCCGCTCTCCAAACATCTTAAATTTATCCATTTATTTTGAATCTTTCGCGAACCATCCTTTCATGACTAATTCCGTAAACGATCGACTTGGTCCCACTTTGTCGTGTTGATGAATTCTTTTCTGTCGATGTTTTGTCTCGCCTTCAACGATTGGCTGTTGATGTTGTAGGAGTTTGCAGCATCGTCGGAGAAAGCGCTCGATACACTTTTGCGACGACTTCTAGGCTAGTTCCTAGAGACTTATCCCTTTGGAATGGAGCGAACAACGTTTTACCGGATGCTTGGATCATTGGATCATCGTTGGTCGTGACTTTTGTATTGTTACCCGCCATTGTTGCACGCGATAGTTTTTTCGTTTTTGTTATTGCTGGCATAGTGCAAGTCATTCGCTAGATTATTTACAACTTAAAGTCTCGTCATTTTTGATTGTCATCAGTCGCTTTGATTGTCTTGCAAACTAGTTTGAAAAATCATATGTATTTTTTTGATAAATTTGGGATTTAAATGAAGGACTTCAATTAAATAATACAATCGATGAAGAAAATAATTAATCGAAAATTGTATCGATGAAAAAAAGATGATTTACTTTTATAAGAAAGAAATATTAAAAGAGATATATTGCAAAAAATTTATTACAAACTTGAAATTTCCAAAAAAGAGAAATTTGTGTAGAAATCCAAAATTTCCGCCGTTCGTATACGATTATATCATGTGATCGTCCAGTAATTACGATATACATCATGAGCCTCTATTAATTGCAATCACCACCTTTCAGGACAAACATATTCGCTACTGTGAAGCTGCGAAAGACGAAGACTAACGACCGTTCGGCGCCAGCACTGTCATGAAACAAATTCTTTCTTTAGATGACGTGTTTCTCGTACTAATACTAACGATCGATGACAAGGGAGCGAAGGTGTCTCCCTTTTGTGAACAAGTTCCTTTGTCGCGCAGCTTTCTCTCCTAAAGACCAGAATTAACGACTGCCAAATGATCATCTAATCGCAAATTTCTTTTAAAAGAAAATGCGATGCTAACCCTTTCCGTAACTACGCGCCATATGGATATGTCTGTGTGTTGTACCTATATATTTTTTTACGATTTTTTTCAAAAGTATCGATGCACATCATCAGAACCACGAGTAGGTAAAGTATTGTATCAAAATAGAGTTTGCAGTTTTATAATGTTAAATCAAACATTCTATTGTTATACAAAGATTTGAGCAACATGATTGCGTATCAATATCAGTTTGACGAATGAATAAAGAGGCTCGGATGAATGGAAAACCTTAATAATTATCAATATGTTTTCACACACAGCGTTAATAGTTACATTAAATTACATTTAAATTACATTGACAATCGAATGAATGAAAAGTTTACGGTAAAAGTGAGCCAAGTCCATCATTTGTAAACATTTTTACATAAATTTATATATATATTTATATATATCAGATATAGCTCTCTCTTACATGAATCGTAGATTACATTTTTGCTCCAACAGCTTTTCAAACTGAAATGGGAAATGTTTTTTGTCTTGACAACTCGTGAAACGAGTTTAACGAAAAGAGATTGTTACACACACACACACACACACACACACTTAATTAATGTATTTAATACACTGAAAGTGTACCGAAAGGGTTAACGTCTGAAAATATTGAATAGATAACAATTTTGTATCTAACACACATGCTATTTTGAAGTATTTTAAAGAGTTTTTCAACATGTATTTTCAAATAGATTTAGTTTAAGATAATATTCTAACGTAAAATAATTAAGACACGAATGCAAATAAAAAGAATTCGTCCAATTCAGAGAGCGGGAAATGAGGCGGGTTTTAAGGCAACCACTTTTTTGTAACTTAAAATGCGATAGTGTTAAGTATTCGAGGAAGTCTAAGATGCAGAGAGATGTTAATATATTGCGAATAATATATTATAATTATACACAATTATATATTAACGATCGTCCGAACCTGAGTTCCGGCAATTTGGGTTAGATTAGATTAGGTTGAATAAAATTGTTGTAACAAGAATCATGTACACATGCATACACGTTATATATATATATTATTGTTACATTATAAATACACCAATTTTTTAACGTGCATTTGCAGCCTTATATATTTATCGTATCTTTTTTTTTTTTTTTTTTTTTTTTTTTTTTCGAATAATACGAGACATCATTATTATGTTTTCTTTTGTTTTTCTATTTTATGTAAATGCCGACATGTAAACGTAACTGAGTTTCCCGCAACGTGATATTAAGCCCGCGCGTTACGATTTCGGGTCAATATAATGCGCGCGTGTGTACGCGCCTACATGTATTTGCTTTACTTTGAACCGCCGAATTCCACGGGTGGCTTTTTGGCTTATGGAATGCGCCAAAGCCGAGCATATTTGCAAAGCGGTTAATTATTATTTGCGGGCCCGTCCCCGTCCTCTCGAATCCCTTCATCAGCCCTTCATCCTGCAGGATGCTGATGAACGCACTGTCTGATCAAAAAGATGGATGGAAACGGAGAACAATTTGATTGCTTCTTCCTAAAACTACTGCAATTATTTAAGTAGAAAACAATCGATCTCCATCTCTCTTGATTTCTCCCTTCTTTTATTTAAACTTTTTTTCATATTAAAAAATATATTAAAAAATTTATATATAAATAATATATTAGTGAAGCGCAACTTTCTAATAACTTCGTCATGGTCGGCTCGGTAAACGAAAGGAGATAATCGCTAAGAATGTGACATACTGACGGATGTATATCAACATCAACAATACATTATCAACAAATAATATATTAAGAGATATCAACAGATAATACATTGCTCTTTACTTATTTATATACATATACGAGCATATTGCAAAGTTATTTTCTTGTTTTTCATACTATTTTTGTGTGCCTTCATTTCGTTTCGATTAAAATTGAAAGGTTAATTAATTTTTTAAAATGAGTATTTGGGTACCGCGCCGCACCATTCCTGAAGAAATACCAGGATGTCATTCAGGGGCGAATCCGGAGGCGCTTGTCTGGCTACGTTAGTCAACTTGGTCCAATCATCGCGATCAGCCACGCGGCTAGTCTCTTCGAATTTAATGACCGGACCGCGTACCGGGTATCCCGTGATTACGCATTGTTGAAGAGGTACGCCAGAGTTGCTCGGTGACGTCAATGAACCCACGTAAACGCCTCTCTGATCAATCGGCAGACCCTGCTCGATTTTTTGATCCATAGATATCGCCAACACCCATTCTCTCGCCTCTTCGCGTTGATCTGTCGCGATGCCGAGACTCTCTGGAAGTGGAACTTCTAGCGGAAAATCGGTGGCGCGTAGATCGTCCACGTCGAGAACATTTCCATCGCCCTCTTCCTCGATACATTCCTCCAGATCGAGGAAATGATTGAGGAAAACGAAAGCTTCGCTCAAAAGACCCGCGGAACGCGCTGCGACGCCGGCTTCGTAGTAAAATCTGTCGGCGTGCAATATGTCGGTGTATCGTAGGAGGCTGACAGACACTTTGACGACAATGTCGGAAAGCGCCGGGAACGAACGACAACCGTGTTTCACTGCGGAGAAATGTGCAGCTTCTAAAAGCCGCTCAAATTTGTCGGAGGACGGCGACGAGCGACAGAAACCGTGTAAAATGTCGCGGAGCTGAGCCAGATATCTGGAATTAATCGGTGAACAAAATGAGCAAAAAAAAAAAAGTATAATGAAATTGAGAACGGAGAAAACAATCTTAAATCTTAATCGGTATCGGAGATTTATCGGAGAGCATAATAATAAGCGTGGAAAGCGAAGAAGGTTAGGTCAGAAGATGATCTTCAGTGTTAAAAGAGATAAACGTGACGAGGAAAAAAAAAAAACCGAATTTTATTAGAGAAAAGGAAATCTCTGTAAAGAAGATCATTTATCGCCGACAGATTTTTTTCTCATTAGCTACAAAATATCGTACTTGTATTCCTGCTGCACCGTATTCAGGACAGTCTCCGCCAATTGCAAGTACAGATTGAAATTCTGTGAGATCACGGGCGCGCCATACTGCGCGTAGAGCTGCAACGCTTGCGATGCGGCGTCGCTCTTCAGCAATTGCGCGGCGCGTCGCGCCACAAATCTATGCAGCACCTCCGGACCCTGGGAACTCGCGGCGTCAAACACCTGACTCCATTGACCCTTGCGCGCCATCACCTCGAGGGCGGCATTGCCATCCACTTCCGCCAGTCGTTCCATTCCACCTTCATTCGCCATTGCATCCCGGTACTTCTCCTCGAGATATGGCTCGAGATCGGGAGCGAGTTCGCGAACGATCCGACGCGCACGATCCCACTCGCCAACTGCCACCAAGGAGCTCACCGCGTCCTTTAGACGATCCGCTTGAAGGAACACCTGCAACGACGCGAAACGTTCGACCAAGCGCTCCTTTTTTAAGGATTTTCGTTTCACATCGATCGCTCTCAATCTTTCTTAATCATTCATACATTTATATTCGAAATTTTATTCAAAACCAAGTGAAAGAAACAAATGAACCGGATTTCTTCAGGAATTGGACTTGTCGATTTTAACAAAGCATCGTAGAGAAATATATAGCTGTATAATTGTATAAATAAACAAAATAAAAATACCTGAGCGGCGAGCGCGTGTTCACCAACGGAAAACAAGCGTGCACCCAAGTCACCACCGATTTCTGACGCGGTTTCGGGATCCGCTTGATGCAACATAATGTCAGCCGCACGAATGAGATACGATCTGGGCGCTTGCGGGTTCAAAATCAAAGTGTCCAAGGCAGGTCGCACTTCTCCAAGATCAAGCCACTTTCGAGCCTCCTCCAACGCATTTGCCCCGTCCAATCCCGCACTCTTTTGACCCAACTCTCTGCGAAGGGCCGCCTCCTGACTAGGTAAATACTCTCGACACACTCGCAGCGCCTCGGACCACATTCCGGCTGTCTGAAATGAAGCAATTTAAATCTTGTTTTTTTTTCCCACAATTTATAGATAATCATAATTAAACAAAAAGTTTCTGCAGATTAATAACTATTTTATAATAAAATATATAATTATTATAATTAAATATATATATATATATATATATATATATATACACACACACACACACACACACACACACACACACATCTATTCTTTTCTAAATGGTGACTCCTCGCTTCTCATTGCAATCGTAGATTAGATTACGAAAGGTGAGAAATTACGTCAATCTCGTGAAATAATTTAATTTTCTTGTACGTCATCACGTTTTCCTTTTGAAAAAATCGAATTTTATCGCGTAATATTTTATTTAAAATAATTTATCCGCAACAACTTTTTGCACAACTCGCGTAAAATAAGTTTCGAAAGAAAAAAATTAACCTTGTAATGTTCTATTATCATCTCTGGTTTGTGAGCTCTCAGAAGTAGAGCCTCCGCCGTGGCGTAATCTTGCCCCTCGGCAGCTTCGGCGGCTCGAGCAATCAGAACCTGCGCCACTGCCTCCTGACTGTGCGATCGCGCGACATCCTCTGCGGATTCCCAATCGCGATTATGTATATACATTTGTACCGCCTCCATGATTTTACCGGCTTGCACAAACTCCTTTTCGGCCTGGGCGAAACGACCCTCGTCTTCCAGTGCCATGGCGTGGCGATAATGAATCTCCTTTTTTTGATCTACCGTACCGTATTTGGCGATTTCTAGAGCCCACTCGAACAAACTGGCCTCGCACGCCAATTGCAAGCAGGGATCCAAATAATTGAGTCGCATTAGGAGTCTCGCTCCTAATTCCGGAGCCAATGTTCGGGCCCACATCAAAGCAACCTAAAAAAAAAATGAAAAAAAAAAAAAAAAAAAAAAGAGATCTTAAGATTCAGAGATAACAAGAAAGAAAGAAAGCGAGCGATGCTTTTAGGCTTTCCTAGGATAAATCTCAACCTGTTGTGCTGCTTTTTCTCCGGAAGCCTTCTTGGCGACTCTCAACGCATCCTCCCACATATTAACGGATCTATAAGCTGTAACCGCTCCGCGCCAATCGCCAGCACCTAGGATAGAACGCATTCTATTACTGCACAAGTTAAATAAACGGTAAATTTAAATTAAAAATTTTTTACATTTTTACTTGTTTTAGATACAATCAAACTTTTACACACGCAACAATAAAAAATATTGACACAATTAAATGTATAATCGGTATTTGATTGCAACAAATCTTGCACGATAACGGAATATCATAATTTATGTTCGTATCGAAATTTTGTTTAAATTCACTTATGAATTCAAAATGGAATGGGTTTCCTTTTTAATTTCTTTTTAATAGTTTAGAGCAATCAGTTGATTCGTGTCAGTAGAGATTGACCTAGAAAGTGCTCTTCGGCTTCTCTCGGTTTGCCGGCTGCATCTAATTCCCTCGCCAGATGAGCATGAGTGGTTTGAAGTAGATCCGGCCGGTGCTCGGCGACCAATCTGATCATGTCGCCACGGTGTCCCGCTTTGCGATACATCGCGATTGCCGCGTCATAATCGCCGATGGCGACGTAGAGCGCCTCGGCGTGGCGAAATTCGCCGGCCTGTTGCAGACTCTCGGCATGTCTCATCAGCACTTGATTGGCCTCGTCACTTTTCATGTATTCTTGAGCCACTTGGTGGGCGCGCATCCAATCACCCGACTGTACGTGAGCTTCTACGGCACGTTGCGCATTTCCGGCGCGAACGAAAAGCTTCTCCGCCAAGTTGCGTTCGCCGACCGACGAGAAATATTCGCCCAATTTTTCACATTGTTGACGGATCTCAGGATTATCGTCGTCCTCGATCACCTTGAAAAGAGAGAAAAGAGAGATATAATTACATAGATAACCCAACAACAGTCTAATGAAAAGTACGTATCTATAAGAAACATATCTTAAAAATAAATATTTGAAACACACATTATATATCATAATAAATGCTTGAGGAAGTACTTCTCGCATGTACATCTTTTTATCAGTATTTTATTTTAATATAAGGTATTCTTTCAGAATTACCACGCACCTGTATAATCTGCAGAGCTTTTCTCCATTGTCGCGCATTGATGGCGGCCTTCAATGCTAATACCGTTTCACCCGCTTCGATGAAATGATTAATGGCGGCGTCGTAATGACCGTTCGTTGCCAAATACTTTCCCCAATCCCTCTCGAGCTCGACCACCAATGTCGGATCAACTTTACGCGCTAGATCGAGAGCTCTGGCAAATACGCCAGCCTGAGCGTAACAAGCGATCGCCTCGGAGCCAGCGCCTGTTTTCTCCAATAGTTCTCCAGCGAGTTCCATGAGATCGGTAGCTTTAAGACTATTAATAACCTCCTCAACGATTCGTTCGTCCTCCAGCAGTTCATTGACAGTAAGAATTAGCCTGGCAGCTCTCCCAGGTCGACGCGCTTCCAAATAAAGCTTCACGGCTCTCCTAGGATTTGTAGTCTCTATGATAGACGCTGCGCGGGCTGCTTGGCCACTGTCAAGCAGCCAAGCCAAGTGTCGATCTCGCAACTCTGACAAACCGCTCCAGTCGCGGCTCTGGGCCAAACTTAAAGCATCCTCCCAGTGCCAATAGCGCTGATACATATCCAACGCCTTGTCCAGCTCGTTTTGCTCCAAATAGATCGCCTCGGCGGTTTTTAAATCGCCGTTCAACACGGCCAGCCGAGCCCAACAGTCTGGATTAGCCAGTGGCTCGTTGCCTGTCTCTTCGGCGTACTTTTCACCGATCTAGAAGCAAAAGAGAGGCTGACAAGTACGATATCGCGCATCTCACAAGAGATCGGAAACATTTAGAAAGGAAAAATATACGAACCTCGGCAATCTCCTTCAAAAATCTTGCGCAAGCCACGTCGCCCATAGCGGCATAACATCTGGCGGCTATCACAATCTTTCTCTCGCTCATCGCGTTTCTGGCTACGTTCTCCCACATAGTCTCTGTCTGCGAACTGTTGCCCATATTTTCTAGGAATAGGACGACTCTACCAAAGTCATTGTCGTGCAACGCGGTACCAAATTCGATCAGTCCCTCGTCCAATAGATACGGCACCTTGGTGCCGTGCTCCTCCACTATTACGGACGTTCGACCGTCTTCGCGAACGATGTCTATCACATCGCCTTTGATCGGTGTCAGCGTGATCGCTTCCGGCGCGTCTACATTGTACCAAACGGCCAGAGTTTGACCTGTCTGAGCGATGACGACATCGCTGCCGGGTACCCAAGATGCAAAGGATGCTCCAGCCACCAATAGAACTCTAGTGTTCCGCGCGAACATGGGACAGGGGAAAACAATTACAATTAAAATTATAATTAAAATGCTTATTCCGATAAGGAATTTATCTACAAAGCAAGATCCTGAAAATATTAAAAATATCGATGCAAAAGATATGTTTCTTACATATTATATCCTGTGCTTTTTTTTCCCCAAGTAGAAATATTATTCTGATTTTTTGAAAAATTCGCTTTAATCGATTCCCGGAAATAGGGGAGGGGGCGGAATACAAATATTAATCTAGTAGCCTTTTTCTATTATTTGTAGAAATACTAGCAGTTTTAACAAAACATTTCATCTATTTACCTGTCACCTGTATCATTGCTTAGCCAGAGACGACCTCGCTTGTCACGCGACAGTAGCCGATGACCTGCTTCACTCAATTCCAGCCAGTCAATTCGAGCATCATGAACGATTACACTGATGGTCGAGCCAGTTAACAGATCGATTACGCGGACAGTTCTCGGATCCAGCAGATAAGCGAGCTTTTTATTATCGATTCCTCCGGTCGAAGGTGGTCGTTCGTTTACGCGTACGCTAACTACGTGCGGGTTTACCGCTTCCGTTCGTACGGAACCGAGCGCCTCGTTCTGACCGTATTCGACGATCGTGAGTTCACCGGAATAGAAAATTAAGCAAACGACTGGATACTCGAAGAAGAACTTTTCACCGTTGCCAGATCGGTCTTCCCATGGAATCTCGCTGATTAAGCCTAGCTCAATGTCACCGATCAGCAGAGTGCGCGCCGTGCGTGCCACAACGTTATTGTCCCTACGTCCTAAAACGCGTACGTCTTCGATCTCCAGGCCAGTCTGCGATCTGACGACGATGGAACGTTGCGAGGAATCGTTCAGAGGTCGAATCACCACCTGGCTGGGACCTACGTAGGCCACTTCGTGACTGCCACGGACTACCGTGCGTCTAAAGACAAAAGAAATGGAGGCTTACAGAGAGAGAGAGAGAGAGAGAGGAGAGAGAGAGAGAGAGAGAGAGGAGAGAGGAGAGGAGAGGAGAGAGGAGAGAGGGAGAGAGGGAGAGAGGGAGAGAGGGAGAGAGGGAGAGAAGGGAGAGAGGGAGAGAGGGAGAAGAGGAGAGAGGGAGAGAGGGAGAGAGGGAGAGAGGGAGAGAGGGAGAGAGGGAGAGAGGGAGAGAGGGAGAGAGGGAGAGAGGGAGAGAGGGAGAGAGGGAGAGAGGGAGAGAGGGAGAGGAGAGAGAGAGGAGGGAGAGAAGGGAGAGAGGGAGGAGAGGGAGAGAGGGAGAGAGGGGAGAGAGGGGAGAGAGGAGAGAGGGAGAGGAGGGGAGAGAGGGAGAGAGGGAGAGAGGGAGAGAGAGGAGGAGGAGAGAGGGAGAGAGGGAGAGAGGGAGAGAGGGAGAGAGGGAGAGAGGGAGAAGAGGGGAGAAGGAGGAGGGAGAGGGAGGGAGAGAGGGAGAGAGGGAGAGAGGGAGAGAGGGAGAGAGGGAGAGAGGGAGAGAGGGAGAGAGGGAGAGAGGGAGAGAGGGAGAGGAGAGAGAGAGAGGGAGAAAGGAGAGGGAGAGAGGGAGAGAGGAGAGAGGGAGAGAGGGAGAGAGAGAGGAGAGAGGGAGAGAGGGAGAGAGGGAGAGAGGGAGAGAGGGAGAGAGGGAGAGAGGGAGAGAGGAGAGAGGGAGGAGAGGGAGAGAGGGAGAGAGGGAGAGAGGGAGAGAGGGAGGAGAGAGGAGGAGAGAGAGAGAGGAGAGAGGAGAGAGAGGGAGAGAGGAGAGAGAAGAGGAGAGAGGGAGAGAGGGAGGAGAGAGGGAGAGAGGGAGAGAGGGAGAGAGGGAGAGAGGGAGAGAGGGAGAGAGGAGAGAGAGGAGAGAGGGAGAGAGGGAGAGGGAGAGAGGGAGAAGAGGGAGAAGAGGGAGAGAGGGAGAGAGGGAGAGAGGGAGAGAGGGAGAGAGGAGAGAGAGGGAGAGAGGAGAGAAGAGAGGGAGAGAGGGAGAGAGGGGAGAGAGGGAGAGGAGAGAGGGAGAGAGGGAGAGGGAGAGAGGGAGAGGAGAGAGGGGAGAAGAGGGGAGAGAGGGAGAGAGGGGAGAGGGAGAGAGGGAAGAGAGGAGAGAGGGGAGAGAGGGGAGAGAGGAGAGAGGGAGGAGGGAGAGAGGGAGAGAGGGAGAGGAGGAGAGAGGAAGAGAGGAGAGAAGAGGGAGAGGGAGAGAGGGAGAGAGGGAGAGAGGGAGAGAGGGGAGAGAGAGGGAGAAGGGAGAGAGGGAGAGAGGGAGAGAGGGAGAGAGGGGAGAGAGGGGAGAGAGGGAGAAGGAGGGAGAGAGGAGAGAGGGAGAGAGGGGAGAGGGAGAGAGGAGAGAAGGGAGAGAGGTGAGAGAGGGAGAGAGGGAGAGAGGGAGAGAGGGAGAGAGGGAGAGAGGGGAGAGGGAGAAGAGGGGAGAGGAGAGGGAGAGAGGGAGAGAGGAGAGAGAGGAGAGAGAGAGGGAGAGGGAGAGAGGAGAGAGGGAGAGAGGGAGAAGAGGGAGAGAGGGAGAGAGGAGGAGAGAGGGAGAGGGGAGAGAGAGAGGAGAAGAGGGGAAAGGAAAAAAAGGGGGGGAGAAAGGAAGAGAGAGAGAGAGAGAGAGAGAGAGAGAGAGAGAGAGAGAGAGAGAGAGAGAGAGAGAGAGAGAGAGGAGAGAGAGGAGAGAGAGAGAGAGAGAGAGAGAGTGTATTATCAGAGAGTGTTTATCAGTGTATCTCGAGTAATTTTGTGTAGTCTCCTCTCAACATGTAAGTAAAATGTGAATAAAAATCTCATCTCGCTCGGAGCTCGCGAGTAATTAATTATTTGCAAATTCATTCGGCAAATTAGAACTTTCGAATTGAGTAATTAATAATTTGTCGGTGAAATTTTTCAATCGCTAATAGCAAGTATTATAGTTTTGGATGCTGGAAAACGCAAAAGAAATTGAATTTGCGCGTAAATTTTTCTCATTCTCGCGCATCGGTATAATTTCACGTCGAAATTTTTAACGACGGAAAAATGCGAAATTTTATGCCATTTAAAGCTCGTGAAGAAAGGTAATATTGAAAGATAAAAAAAAATGTAGCTAGCTCAAGATTCGGTCACCTTAGAACTGTCTCGAATTGCTCGACACCACCGCACAATCCTCCGACCGCTAGCTTGGATCCGTCTCGCCTCCAGGCAAGCGCCGTGATCGTGTAGAAATTAGGCAGGTCGCGTACGTTAGTCTCTTCCCAAATGCTTCGTCGTGGCGTCCAATCGAAAACGCGCACCTTATCCCAGGAGCCCACGGCGACGCTCTGACCGCTCGGGCTGCAACAAGCTACGGTAATCTCCCTTTCCCGAGGATCCCGGCTATAGTCGAAAGTCTTGACCGGCTTGCCGTGCGAATCGTAAACGGTCAACCGCTTGTCGCAACCCGCCGCCAGGATGTGCGACTGCGGCCACGCTAGAGCGTAAGCGGGCACGTTGTGAACGCACACTCGTCCCGAAGGCTCCGCGCCGTCGTTCTCGGTCACGTAGTACCGGATGATACTTCCGTCGGCGTGGCTCGATACGAAGCCGTTGCCGCGGACACTGTCGAGAAGGAAAAACTGCCTGTTAAGCCTATCGTCGCTCGATTAAACGCGTCGCTATAAATTACATAATTACAGGTCGTTGGGCGCGACTCGTCGAGTAAAACACGATTGACTTTTTATTTACTTGCTAGCTAGGGCTATCGCCATTGCGTCCGAAGTGTACAGGGTCTGCGCCTTTTGCGATTTCACCAGAGCCGCGCGGACCTTTCCATCCGCCAGTCCTATGACAATCGGACCTTCCGCGGGCCAGATCAAACAAGTTACCGCGGAACTCTGTCGAAATTTGTTGCAAATCACCTTTTTGTCGCCCCTGAAATAATCATTTTCGACTTTAATTTAATAATACGATCTGTCTCGATATATCTATTTTTCTTTTCTTTCAAATGCTCGACAATTACCAATCCTCTCCTATCTTGTACACATATACGATGCAGTCGGTTTGACCGACCGCAATCTTTGTGGATTCCGGGGAGAAGGCTATTCCTTTTATCGTATAACTTTTTTTGCCAAACTACGAATAAAACAAAAAGTTACTGGTAAAACATAAATTTTAAAACGGTATATACGGTATAGACGTGCGTAATAATTGGTAATATATTGTAGGTAATAATAACATAAACCTATGTACATTGATTCAATAAATACCTTAATGTCAGCGGGTTTAGTTGAAAACTTGTCGCGTTTGACGCAGTTCTCATCAAAAAGATAAATGGAACGATCCGAGGATGCTACAGCTAGCTTCAAGTTGT